CAGGGCAGTACTGCGCACGTCACATGGGCCTCCATCTCGTCTCCCCACAGATGTTGGGAGTGGACCTGATCCTGCCCAGGACACAGTGTGGCCCAGCTAGGTCTCAGTCTAGTATTTCCCAGATGAGCAGCAGGTCCCCCATATGCGGGTGCTCTCTGCCCAGACTCCCTCTCCTTAGGAGTGGGCTTCCTATTCCCCGTGAGCCAGCTCGGATACTGGAAGTGTCCTCCTTTCCCAAAGAGCATCTTTTCTCAGAAGCCTCTGATGGCTTTCTTCCTGCTCTCAGGTTAGAGTCCAGGCCCTAGCCTGACATTCCAGGCCCTTCCTGAGCTGGCCCAATGAGCCTTTCCAGGCTTTTCTCCTGCTACTCTCCCTGTGCAATTGCCTCTGTAGCTACTGGGATGATCTTTTAATTCCAGTTCAATTTAAATTGAATGAGCAATTACCTGGTGCTGAGCGCTGGGCTGAGTATTAACTAATAAAACTCCCAGGCAGTGATTTCTGACCTTAGGCTCCTGTAATTCCCTCTTTTTAGAAGGATCTTCCCAGCAACCCTCCTCCTCCTCCAGATGTCACGTCCAATCCAATTCAAATTTATCACATATCACATATCAAAGATACTCACTGGTGAAGACCCAGGCTTTGGGGTCAGACAGTTTGAGTCCCGGCCCTGACATGTACTAGCCGTCTCACCTCGGATAATCTACCTCCTCTCTCTGAGCCTCAGTTCCTTCATCTGTAAAATGGGGATAATAGTAGCACTACCTCACAGGGTTGTTTTTTTAACTTTTTATTTTATATTGGAGTATAGTTGATTAACAGTGTGGTGTTAGTTTCAGGTGTACAGCTAAGTGATTCAGTTATACATATACATGTATCTATTCTTTTTCAAATTCTTTTCCCATTTAGCTTGTTACATAATATTGAGCAGAGTTCCCTGCGCTATACAGAAGATCCTTGTGGTTATCTGTTTTAAATACAGCAGTATGTACATGTCAATCCCAAACTCCCTATCCCTCCCCCACTCCCGTGCCCCCTGGTGACCATAAGTTGAGGATTCAGTGAACTAATGAAGGTGATGAGGACACTTAGAGCCTGGCCGTAAGCCTAATATCTGGCACTAGTAAATGTTCAATAACTGTTAGTGGTTACTGTTATCCTGGCTGTTAACTGTCTACCTTCCTCGTCCTCTACACCCTGCTGCGATGAACGCACACAGGTGGCACAGCCCCTGCTCTCAAGGAGCTCACAAGTTGGGTGTAGAAGCAGATAGGTAATTCGAATACACTGCGTAAGTTCCATGATAGAGGTTTGAGCTTGTCTGCCGGCGGACTCAGGGAAGGCCTCACAGGAGGAGGTGTCCCTTGGGCTCACCTGGAAGGAAGGGCAGGGTGGTGGGCAGGTGGGGAGCATACATCTCCAAAGTGAGGGGGTCGAGCTGGGTGATGCCCGATGTCTGGTATAAGATGCCTGGAGCCAACTGGACAGTCAGGTAACCGTTAGGCTGCTGTCCCAGGTGAGGGCCTTGAGTTGACTCTGGCCTGGTCATCTTGTGACGCCAGTGGCCGTGGGGAGCCCTCCTTGTGGGAGAGCCGACGGGGCTCATTTTCTCTCTCCTCGCCTCCCTCTCTGGGACTGATTCGGGCGCGTTCCTCTGCTTGGAATGCCTGTTCCCCTCCTGGTGGACTCTTGAAGCTGAATCTGGCCTCTGCACCCCGACACCGAATTAAATCTCAGAAACAGAGTTTTGGGTGAAGTAGAAAAGAATAGCTTTATTGCTTTGCCAGGCAAAGGGGGCCACAGCGGGCTAATGCCCTCAAAACTGTGTGTCCCAACCTGGGGAGGGTCCTGGGAAGTTCTATAGTCATGGTTCAAAGAGGGCTGCACTATTGTTTCTTTGTTTCTTTTTTTTTTTTAACATCTTTATTGGAGTATAATTGCTTTACAATGGTGTGTTAGGTTCTGCTTTATAACAAAGTGAATCAGTTATGCATATACATATGTTCCCATATCTCTTCCCTCTTGCGTCTCCCTCCCTCCCACCCTCCCTATCCCACCCCTCCAGGCGGTCACAAAGCACCGAGCTGATCTCCCTGTGCTATGCGGCTGCTTCCCACTAGCTATCTATTTTACGTTTGGTAGTGGATATATGTCCACGCCACTCTCTCACTTCGTCCCAGCTCACCCTTCCTCCTCCCCGTATGAAGAACCTAGGGGTAAGACGGGAATAAAGACACAGAACTCCTAGAGCCTGGCCTTGCACTATTGTTTCTTCACTGCTCCTCCCTTGTGTCCACATCCCCTCCCTTTCCTACTTAGCATCTGTTTGAACCTGCCCCTTGGAACTCAGGGAAAGGCATGGAGGCTGAATGAAGCCTATTTCCTGTAATCAGGAAATGGGGGACACAAAGGCTTTTGTGCCCAGGTGCCCCACAGAGTCCTGCTCAGTATCACTCTTACTCACCCTTCAGTACGTGGCCCAGGTGACCCCTCGTGTCTCCGTGAGCTCCCTCGGCACCGCCATAGACCCTGGCATCCCCGCTCTCATGACACCTATTGCTGTGGGCTATGGTGTTTTGTTTACCTGCTCACCTTCTTCCCCAGTAGACCGACTCAGTATTCCTCGAGTCCCAGTGCCTAGTAGAGCGGCCGTTTGCTGATGGTTGTGTTGATTCCCAGAATTACAGGCCTCGCGGGAGAGACCCCGCGTACAGATGCACCCATTTTAATTAGCTGGCCCGGCCTGTCTCCTAAACAGTCCCGTTTGGGGTTTTCTGCACATCCTGACTGCTGCATTCAGCCTCACCACCTCTTGGGAGATGGGGGGAAAATGAGGCAAATGGCTTTCAAAGGCCCAATTACGGCAGCCACAGTCATTCATTCCAGGCGGCTCCAGCCCTGCTGGTCTCCCCAGGTCATTGGCTGTGATTTGGGGGTCCTGGATGGAGATGTTTGATGGTTGAAATGTGCCAGTGTGATGCCATCCACCATGTGCTGTCCCAGACTGTGCGTCATCTCATCAAACCCCTCCCGTAAACTCTGAGTCAGTACCACTCCCACTTTACAGATGGGGAAACTGAGGCTTATGGAGGTGAGGGGACTTGCCCACTGTCATGCAGGTGACAGCAAAGGCAAGGACTGTGGGAATCCCGCTGTGCTTTTTCTTCTCAGCTGCTGGGAGCCTGGACCCACCAACCCTCCAGTTCTGGGGTCAGGAGAGACTGAGCAGTCAGCTGACCAAACCTTTGGCCAAACTTTACCTTTTTTTTAATTGATGTATAGTTGATTTACAATGTTGTGTTAATTTCTGGTGTACAGCAAAGTGACTCAATTATATAGATATGTATCTTTTTCATATTCTTTTCCATTATGGTTTATTACAGGACATTGAATATAGTTCCCTGTGCTATACAGTGGGACCTCGTTGTTTATGTGTTTTATATATAGTAATTTGTATCTGCTGATCCCAAACTCCTAATTTATCCCTCTCCCGACCTTTCCCCATTGGTAACCATGTTTGTTGTCGAAGTCTGTGAGTCTGTTTCTATTTTGTAAATAAGTTCATTTGTATCATCTTTTTAGATTCCACATTTAAGTGATATCATAATTTGCCTTTCTCTGTCTGACTTACTTCACTTAGTATGATAATCTCTAGGTCCATCCATATTGCTGCAAATGGCATTATTTCATTCTTCTTTATGACTGAGTAGTATTCCATTGTGTGTGTGTGTGTGTGTGTGTGTGTGTGTGTGTGTGTGTGTGTGTATCACATCTTCTTTATCCATTCTTCTGTCAGTGAACATTTAGGTTCCTTCCATGTCTTGACTATTGTAAATAGTGCTGCTGTGAGCATTGGGGTGCATGTATCTTCTCGAATTAGAGTTTTCTCTGGATATATGCCCAGGAGTGCGATTGCTGGATCACATGGCAACTTTACTTTTAGTTTTTTAAGGAACCTCCATACTGTTCTCCACGGTGGCTGCACCAATCTACATTCCCACCAACAGTGTAGGAGGGTTCCCTTTCTCCACACCCTCTCCGGCATTTGTCATTTGTAGACTCTTTAATGATGGTGGTGTGAGGTGGTGTCTCATTGTAGTTTTGATTTGCATTACGGGCAGTTATTTCTAACACCAGAACACCAGTGAACATTCTCCAAGAGAAACCCAGGAAGGGAAGAGGTGAGAAGGAAGCTCTTTCAGATGACCACCTGCTATGGGTCAGGTGCTCTGCTGGATACTGGAGATACATTCTCAGTTCAGCCTCACATGATTTCTGCCAGGAGACAAGGACAATCCCAATTTCTATGGTGACAACACTCAAGTTCAAGTTCTCTGAATTGCCTGAGGCCATAGAGCTAGAAACTATCAAAACTGGGATTAGAACTCAAGTTCAGGGCTTCCACTAGCTCATATGGCATTATGAAGCTCATTATGCACGTTAGAAGAAGGTCCATCCTCCAGGCAGATGAAGCCCTGTACCAGGATGCACTGCTTCATGAATGGGACCAGGCGGTATTCCAGCAGACCTCCTCAGTCCCTCAGCTGCGCACGTTTGTGCAGTGCGCGACCTCAACAAACGTACATGGCAGCCCTGCCTGAGTCTGCCTCCTAACCGTGTGCTCTTCAAGTCACGTCGTGCCACCTCTCAGCTGGGTGGAATTGCCTCCTCCATAGATATTCCTTCCATGTAGTGGTTGGACGAGAAACATAGAATCACAGAAGGAGTAGAACTGAGGTCATCAAATCCTAGTCCCTCATTTTCCAGATGAGGAAACTGACAACCAGAGGGTAGAAGTGACTGCTGAGGACACATCTTGAATCACGAAGAGAAACCGCTAGCTCACCAGCCTCCCCACCCAGTTCCCCTCTCCCCCAGGAAGGGGCTTGGCCTCAGACCACCTGTCCTCAGTTCTGGGAATTTTATCCCAAACCATAAGACCATCCATGTCACTGCCAGGCCCTGACGCCTGGCACTGATCAATTTCCTTTCCTTTTCAGGACAACCAAGAGTTTGGGCCTTCACCCATCACCCTGAGGATTTTGCCAAAATGTCTCTCCTGAGGACACACTGGTGGAAATTTGGTGAGTGGCTTTTTTCCTGTATGTTACTCTCAAGGGGTAGAGCCCCCTCACTGTGGTTAGAATTAAATGAAAGAAAGCATTTGATGGCAGGCATATCGTTTCCCAAGTGCACGGAAGGGCTGTTCCCTCCCTCTGTCCTCTCCCTGGTCCTGCTGCTTTCAAATACAGGAGGGGCCCTTCTTCAAGATATTCATGCTTACGAGACCATGGTTGTTGGCAGCGGAGATACTCAGAGGGTTTAACCCCTAGCAGTTCCTGGCACTGTCTAATCAGGACTGATGCAGGCTGTAGCTAGGCAGGGTCCTGGGGACTCCTGCGGCTCTCTGAGGCCGCATGGTGGGTAGTCCTAGGGCAGAGGCAAGGGGCAGGGTTGCGGGCTCAGAATAGAAATGACTCAATATTTGGCACATGGCCTTCCTGTACCCGTGCCTCTAGGCTTACTGGTTGTTGGTGAAAAGTAGTTGAGCTCTGATTCCACCCCTGCCAGCCACTTTCCCCAAGTCTGGGCCACGCCCAGTAGAATCAGAGAAGTTGCCCGCTGACCAGGTCAGAATTCCAGCTGGAAACTTTCTCTGGGATGGGGTGGGGTGCTGCCCTCTCCTCCCTTTACCTTTTCACCACTGTGCCCTGCTGGTGACCCAAGTTTATGGGGCTGCCTATCTTCTCCCACAGCTGCAAGGGGAGCTTGCACTGATTACACTTGACAAAGCACAAACGCCCGTCCTGCTCTGGCAGGAAGGCAACATGGGCTCTAATTGTTTTATGGGCTTTTCACACCCAGAGAAGAGGGGGAGAAACGCCAGCCACACAGGGTTTCTATTCTACCGTTGCCTCCGTGTCAACCCCTCCCGAGTCCCCAGAAGGCTTCAGAGTGGTGGAGAGAAAACATCTCAGAATTGGCCTTTCCACTTGGTGAAAAGAGGCAGAGGGCTCCCCCAGAGCCAGACAAAGCCCCCCATCTTACTAGTCCTCCTGCCAGGCCTGATGGTGGGCACTGGGTTCTGAGCCCAGCCAAATGGGGGAGCTCTGCGAAGCCTGCTGTGTGGAGTAGAAAAACTCACTGCTGTCATCAACATCACGGCACCCCTCCCGTCCTCCAAACTCCAAAGGCTGACATCTGTCATCTCCCGGTGCCGCCAACAGCCCAGGAGTGGGTGGGATGGGGGACGGCCAGGAAAAGCAAAGATTACTACCCACACTTCCCAGATGAGGAAACTGAGGCGAGGGATGGTAAGGGACCTGCCCACGATGGCACGGCCGAGCAGCGGAGCTGGGATCTGAAAGGCTCCTGAGTCCCCGTGTGTCCTGTCCGGTCTGCATCTCAGCCTCACTCTAACCTCCTCTCCTCTCCCCCCAGCCTCTTCCCTCTCCTTCTCTCTGTCTTTCTCTCTTTGTGCCTGTCTCTCTGGTTCCGTTTCTCTCTCTTTTTTCTGTCTGTCTCTGTCTCTGTTTCTCTCTGTCTGTCTCTATGTCCCTATCCCTCTCTTTCCCTCTATCTGTCTGTTTGTGACCCCTTTTCGGCCAGCGGCTGAGACAGTGAGCACACCTCAGATCCAAACCTTTCTCCCATTCACTCCCCTCTGCTATTTTGTTATCTACTTGTATACACCATTAGCTTTTATCTTGTTGTGTCACATATATCTCCGTACACTGCCTTGAAACCTCTGGGGAACAGAACAAGGCAGGGCAGAGATAAATACATTGAATTTAAATGTGCCAGGTTAGGTGAAAGCAAAGTTCACCTTTGCAACTGAGAGAAGATTCCGCAGCTGTGTGGGCTTCCCGCTGCTCCCCCACTTGGCTTCCCTCCTGCCCTTAGAGACTGGACTGAAATTTGCAGTGAATTCACAGATGAATTCACTTGAACTAGACCAGAGGTTTGCAGAGTGACCCTTGGAGCCTCCAGGCTTCTGTGCCCCCTGGTGCTGCAGCATCTGCAGCTCAGTGCTCCTGGCTCCCAGTTTCCACCGGAGGAAGGAAGATTTCCCACCTAAGGACAGTCTGAAAAGCCGTAGAAGTAGATGGGCTCTACAGATCTTTCAAGTCCTGAAAGTTTGACGATAACGTCCCCTTTGGGAAGGAGCAGGATTCAGAGTCACCCCTGTGCTCCACAACCTGTCACTTCCAGGACCCCAAGGTCTTTCAGTTCAGGGTAAAGCCAGCCAGGCTCCTTGGGTACAAAATTAAGGAGGTGCGTGCTCTCAGGGCTGGGCAATGCCCCTGCACTTTAAGGAGTGAGTGCCCCCTTAAGTTTGTGCCCTGCATCTTTTTTGTAAAATTTATTTTATTGAAATATAGTTGATTTACAATTTGTGTTAATTTCTGCTGTGCAGCAAAGTGATTCAGTTATACATATATATACACATGCTTTTTCATATTCGTTTCCATTGTAATTTATCATAGGACGGTAGGACCTTGTTTATCCATTCTATATATACTAGTTTGCACCTGCTATCCCCCAACTCCAAATCCATCCCTCCCCCACCTCTCCTCCCCCTTGACAATCACAGTCCTGTTTTCTATGTCTGTTTTGTAAATAAGTTCGTTTGTGTCGTATTTTAGATTCCACGTGTAAGTGATTTCACATGGTGCTTGTCTTTCTCTGTCTGACTTACTTCACTTAGTAGAATCATCTCTAGGTCCATCCACGCTGCTGGAAATGCGCCCCGCATCCTGCTTGCCTTAGCGTAGTTCCCATTTCTGCTTTGGCTGCCTTTTTTCTCTCCTGCCCTTTGCTCTCTTGGATCCTTTAAATGTGCTCAAATCCCACCCCTATTTTGGAAAACAAACACCTCCACTTCAACCTTGACCCCACGCTCCCCTCCAGCTGCCACCCTGCCTCTCTCCTCCTCTCGGGTGCCTATATGTCCTCTTTCTCCTCCCTCCTTGGCCCACGCCGGTCTGGGTTCCCCAACAAGTCGCTCTCACTGTGGTCGCCAGTGTTCTCCACGCTGCTAAACGTGCAGATATTTTTCGTTCTCTCTCTTCTTCCTGAAAAGCCCATCTCTGTTGGCTTATTCGATGCAGTAGTGTCTTGGCCGTCCTCCCGCTTCCCTGGACACTTGTCCTTTGTCCCTTATCTGGCATTAAGTGTCAGTGTTCCCCAAAGCTCCCTCCTAACTGCTCTGCTCTTCCCACCCACCGTCATGCCTTCAGTTACCACCTGTATCCCACGTCTTCAAAATCTCTATCTGTAGCCCAGCCCTCTCTGCAGGGTTCCAGACCAGTACAGAAATGGTCACTTGTCACCTCCATTTGGATGTCTCCAGCGTACCATGAAATCCACATGTTTAAAACTGAACTCAAGCTCTCCCTGTCTCCCCCTCCACATCACCCCCAAATATCTGGTCCTGTTTGTTTCGTCTTTTCAGTGTTTTCCTAACTGAGACCTGGATTATGTGGAAGAAGGTAGGTGTGTCTAGGTGGGAGGAGTCATGGAGGGCTCTGTGACCTTTAGTCCTAAGCAGGGGAAGGAAATTATTTAATTGTCAAAAACATGACAACACTGGCAAAAATAAATTAAACGAGGCATATACGTTGTGAAAAATGAGTCAGCGTTCTAGTCACTCTGAGATGCTATATTCATGAAAAACTTTTCATCAAAAAAATTACGTGCTATGGTGAAGTCTGTGGATGATAACACTTGGTGACATGAGCAAACTCTATCATCGCATTCGAGAAGCCTCTGTGTCATCCCCCTACCCCACTCCCAGCTCACTGAAGGGGACTCTGCTGCTGACTTGCAGGAGAAGCTCCCCAGAGGTTGCCAGTGAAAGCAAAGCCCTACTTGGCACATGCTGCTCCCACTGCCTGGAATTCTGTTCCCTAATTCTCTCCCCTTCAGCCTGTCACTATTCCCTTCACTCGACCTAGTCTTACTCATCCTCTGGTTCTCAAGTTAAATGACACTTCTTCCAGGAAGCCTTCCCAGAATCCCTAGTGTCCCCCAGGTCCCCCCCTTACACATCCCTCCTGGTCCTTGAGCTTGCCCTTCCAGGCTCTAATCAAGTGATAACTTACCTATTATATGGGGTTGCCTGCGGCCAGCTCAGCATCACTGTCACCCTTTCAGTGTGGAGTGAAGCCTGGGGCTGCCATTTCCCAGAATCCCCTTCCCAGGATGGTTCTGGGTTAGAGTTGGCCAACAAGGCACTTGGGGGACATGTGATCCGTGGAAGAGAAACAGAGCCATTGTTCTCCAGAGGCACTGCAGCCGACACGTCTGCACACCTGACGTGAGGCTGGAAGCAGCGCCCAGGTGGGCTTCTTGAGGGGCACCTACATCAAGGCTGCAGGCTGAGGTGGCTCATGGGAGCTTCCCAGTGGCCTCTGGGTGAGCTCTTGAAAACCAGCTCATCAGGGGTGGCTCCCTGCCTTCCAGCATCATGCAAACCTCAGATTTCCTACCCTGAATCCCTTCATACTTGGAATACACAGAGTGGCTTCTGTTTTCTTGACAGATTCCTCACTGATAAAAAAATCATGTGTGTGAATAGTGTTAATATCTGTCTTCCTCCCAAACCATAAGCCCCATGTGGTCAGAGCCAACATGATGTGTGGCTGTATCCCCAGATATCAGTCTAAACTGAAATAGAATCCACATAGTCCCATTTAACAGATTGGAAGACTGAGCCCCAGGGTAGATCACAAGATAGTGGCAGGGCCGCCATCTACCTGTTTCTGAGTGCATTCTTTCCCTGCCATGAAGGCACTAGAAACGGAAGGAAGGACTTATTCCAAACAGCTTTTGAGTGACTCTTTCGGATGTTAGCTTCCTCCCCCCAGTCAAGATGCTAGTCACACTGAAACCAAACCACAGGCTTCTCACGAATACAACTGAGTTATTATCACCACTTTCCAGTTGACAAAATTATTTCTTATCTTTGTATTTTATAGGTATAGCAATAAAAATTATTGTCAAGGGCATTATTACAATTTTTAACTATTAATGGAATTATGATGCCTGATGGAGGATGGGCAACAAAATATACTCCCCACAA